TTTCTGTTTTTTATTTTTTATAATTCAAAAAACTTATCTGTTTCCAAAAAACAAAATATAGGGTTGTAGGGATTAAAAATCCCTACAACCTCATATATATATATATATTTTTACCCATTATTTAATTCAGGAAAAATATGGCAAATTCGCGGCCGGCCACGAACGCGGCCGTATATACGTCCGCCATCCGAGCTCGACGCCGCGGACGCGTCCGCGGGTGTTTCATAGGTTTGATGTGCCCGCTCCGTCTGTCCATCCGTCTGTGGGTGCCGAGCAGAACTAGGCTTCATTGTCGTGCCAGACTCAATCATGAGGGATGTCCAAAATGTCGACATGAAGCGAGTATCGTGGTCGCTCACGATGTTTTCCGAAACACCATGGCTGCAAATCCAGCCGGTGTGCAAGAGTCGTGCGAGCTCAGGCGCTGCAGCATGGTACCTGCAAGGAAGAAATCTGACGTACTTGCTCAAACGGTCAACGACCGTGAGAATGTCATCATGACCAAGGTGATCGCGACGAAACGGGACGGTAACATCCATAGCAATGGATATGCACGGTTCTTGTGGAATCAACATTGGTTTGAGTTCGCCATAAGGAAGCTGATGTTGTTGCACTGGCAAACTGCACATGACTGCACATATTTGTTGGCGTCGTGAAGGACATCTTCCCAGTGAAAACGCTGGCGAAGACGTGCCAAAGTATGAGCGACACCAAGGTGTGCCGAGAGTCGCGAGTCGGGGAATTCACCAAGAAGGCGAGTACGCAAGATACAATCGCGTGGCACACATAACAAGTCCTTCCCTCGCATGTGGAGAAGCAAATACTTGTCGGAGATGCGATAATGCCTTGTCGGCGGGTGATCCGATGAAAGATCTGCATAGAGTGTTGAGTATTTCGGGTTGGACTTGTAACCATTGACGAAGTGCTGCTGCAAATCGTCATCGAGCGGAAATGTATCGGGCACGAAGACACACAAATCGTGTCGCCGTGATACGGTGATAGTGCATCCGCTGCTCGATTGGAGAGGCCTAGAATATGGATGGGGTCGAAGTCGAATTGGTCGATGAAATACATCCATCGGCGGATCGTACTTGTGACCGTGTCCTGCGTTTTATAGTAGGTCAACGGATTATTGTCCGTATTCCATGTGAAACGCCGACGCCCGAGAAGAAAGTGTTGCCATCGTTTGAGAACGGTGACGGAAACCAACAACTCTTTCTTCTGAGCATCATCCAAAGAATGGACGAGGGCGTCGAGGGGCACCTTTTGGGAGAAGTGCTCGACTGGGTGCCGATCATCGATGTCATGTTGTTCCAATATCGCACCAATGTCGTATCTGGAAGCGTCCGTAGTCACTCGGGTACGTAAGGTGGGATTATAAATGCGGACGGCGGGAGCGAGTAGCATCGCGTCCTTCAACGCCTGGAATGTCGTCCGGGCTGCATCGTCGAAATCGAATGGCACCTTCGGAGACTGGAGCCTCGACAATGGTGCAGCAACTTTAGAGTAAGAGTCGACAAATCGCTGGTAATATCCAGCCAGACCCATGAACGAGCGTACGTCTATAGTAGTATGGGGTTCCGACTAGTCCACAATGGCTTGGATCTTGTCCGCTAAGGAACGAATGCCTTGCGGCGTAACATGGTGGCCCAAGTACTCGAGATCTTACTGTGCGAATTCACACTTGTCGCGATTTGCTTTGTACTTGGCCGTGCGAAGCCTTTAGAGAACAGTGTGAAGGTCTTTGAGATGCTCGTCGAATGTCCGACTATAAACCAATATGTCATCGAGGTAAATGAGTACGGTGGGTTGAGTAGGTCTCGAAACTCGGCCGTCATAGGCTCATAGCCGCTTGGAAAGTCGTCGGGGCATTGGTGAGGCCAAATGGCATAACAATCCACTCAAAATGCCCATACCACGTTTTGAAGGCGGTCTTGTACCGATCCTGGGGCTGGATTTCAATCTGGTGGTAACCCAACTTCAAATCCAACTTTGAGAAGTACGTGGCGCCGCCCAACCTCTCATTGACAAGGAGATTATCAATCCGAGGGAGAGGGCCGACGTTCTTCACCGTTTGTGCGTTGAGTTTTCGATAGTCTATGCACAACCGGAGGTCCTTGTTCTTCTTCCTGACGAAGAGAACCGGGGCAGCGTAGGGCGAACAACTCGGGCGAATCCAACCCTTGTCCAAGAGGTCATCAAGTTGTGCGCAAAGCACCTCGAGTTCCTCTTCGCTCATCCGGTAAATGCATCCATGCGGAGGGACGACACTGTCCTCGAGAGTAGTCTCATGACGTATGGGCCGATCCCGGACCATTCCGACAGGAGCTACAAAGATGTCACCATAATTGTCTAAGAGCTGAATAATACGTGGGTCCGGCGGCGATGTCTTCGGTCCGTCCGTCGAAGGGATCGTATGCAAAAAACATATTCCCATCTCATCGACGTCGTTCCGAGTAATAGCATCGCGAATTCTCGCTGCGGAGACCACGTGGCAACCAATCGAAGTGTGAGGGGGCGGGACCGTACACGAGACCAGCTCACCGTTCCGATCACGAATGTGAATGGTGCGGTTGTGGAAGTTCACTGGGTGGTCGGCGCTATGCAACCAAGACATGCCTAGAATCATGTCCAGCTTGGTGTCGAGGATGTCAAAAGACACCGGCTCGCACGCGAATGGCGCAAAGTAAACCGGAACGCCGTCAACGCATCGGTCAATTGACTTTTGCGTGTGTCCGTCCGCGAGTGTTACATGTGTTGGCTGCGTTTTCCTTCGAACGCGAGGGTGTTGGCTGCGTTTTCCTTCGAACGCGAGGGCCGAGGCCAGCGCGGGCCATAAAAGCTTGGCTCATATAGTCGGAGACGCTCCGCAATCGATCAAGGCACTGCAGGTTGCCTTTCCTATCTGAATGTGGATATAGAGAAGGGGCGCGTCGATTTCGACGTACCTTTGAGAGGCGTGCTCACGGTCAATCTTTGCAAGGTAGTCGCGAATATCAACAACCGCTACGCCGCCGTCCGTCAACGGAGCTGGTACTGCAGTGTGCAAGTAAGCGCGTAGATTGGCCATTAAGGCATTGCAATGCGGCTTGGGCAAGGATCCGGTCGAGGGAAGAGGCAACCATTGGAAGTCCTCTATCGTTAGGATCGAGATCCTCAAGTCTCGACCACGCCGACGAGTCCTCGAAATGTGTAGGCGAAAAGACCGGCTCGCTTGTTGACGGTGCGCAAGCTGCGCATACGCTTTCTTCATGCACGTGACTAGGCTGGTTCAACGGTGGGACCAACTGGACTGCATAATCCTCGTAAGTAATACGAGAATCGTCAACTACCGCATGTTCCCCGGAGATGAAGTCGGTTGCTAACAAAGCAACCGTTTCCGACGGAGTGGGGAGAGCCGTGATTGCGCTCCTTGCGATGCTCAATTTCCCGAGCTGTTTGGACGAGGCCCACTAGGTTTACCCTTGTCGCTGTTGCACGGTTTTTGCACCAAAGACAGTAGTTGTACTTCAGGCGGAGGTTATAAACCTCCTCGCTAATGTGATACTGCGTCCACGGTTGCTGTCCCGCTCCTTCCGACGTCTGGGTGTTCGCCTTCTTCTTCCGAGCTCGTGTGCGTTGAGGAGGGATCGCTGCTACAACATCTCCTTCATCAGAGGCTGCTGCAGCGGCGTGGCCTTCTTGTGATCCGGTGAGGATCACGTTTACATTGTGCCGCTGAAATCCTGGCTTTGCCACATAGGCCGGCTGCTGCTGACAACTTTCATTAGCCGCTCGCCGGTCCGTTTGTATGAGAATGGTCGCTCTTGATATGACTGCGTCGAAGGTCTCGTCCTGCAGCTCGTTGCCGAGAGCCGTGGTCAACCCATCGCATGACCGAGAAAAGAACTCAGATCTCAAATCTTCGAGATCGAGGTTGAATTTCGGAGTGGCGACAAACTTCTGCCACTTCGTCAACCATTCTCGGGTAGGCATAGTGCCTTGGTTCCAATGGTAGAGCTCGGTCATGACCGCCTTCCTGACGTTGCGGACCATGAACTGCGTCTGCCACAGCTGCTCAAACTCTTCCCAAATAATCTTGTTGTGCAGTGTTGCGATCGTACAGGCCTTTTGTACTGCCAAATTGTTCAAGAAGGCCTGCCTGCCGCCAATCAGCTGGAGGTACAGCGCGTTGAGGCGCTGCTCGGGGGGAACATGATGCACGTCCGCCTCCGTATTGAATGCGGTCCACCAAGCTAGTGCGTCGGTCTTGTGATAGTCGTCAAATTTGGCCACGTTGAATTTGGGCATTTTGTACGTCTTGCCGCTGTCTGGTCTCGACTTCAGCTGATCCAACTCGGCTTTAGAGTGCCGTCACTTGGCTGCTAAGCGTCGTTGGGGCCTCAAACTGGCCCACCTCACCAATCAGGCCGATGATGTGATCGACGCGCTGAGTGGTGGTAGCGGCTTTGCTTTCAATCGCTGTGACACGCGGGCCCCATTGCTGGCCAGCTGCTGAACCGCTTGGTCTGCTGCTGGTGCACGGGCCTGTGCTTCAATCGTACCCAGGCGTATAGTAAGTGCATCGTTGACTTGCTGTTGCTGCGTCTTGGCAGAATTGATCGCCGTTGTGAATGTCCGGCAGTCATTCGCGGCAGCTTTGAGAATCTGCTGCTGCTGGTATGCTGCCTGGGCGTGAGCCGCAACTGCTCCTGCTTCCAGTTAACAGTGTATTACAAGTGTCCGAGTAGGTAAGCCAATTCTGTTTTCTCCTGCTCCGCCGCTGTTGGCGCCGCTTGTGCAGCCGATGGCACAAAAGTCCACGTCGTGAGGAGTTCGCTGAAACGCTGCTCCTCATTTTGCAGGACCTGTGTGTTTGCAGCACGCTGTTGTTGGTGTGCTGCTTCGTCGACTTCTCGCTGTAGCTGCGCTTGGATGGCGGCCTCGTTGGCCAACCGTTGTGCCTCGGCGGCAGCTTCGTTGGCCAGTCTCTGTTGCTCAGCTGCTGCCTCTTCGGCCAGTCTCTGATGTTCAGCGGCTGCAGTGGCAATCCGCTCCTGTTCGGCAGCGGCCAGGTCCATGAAGGTCTGGACGCGCTGCAAAAACACATCGGACGCCTCATTGGCGCCTTGGACCGGAAACACTGGCAGGACCATCGTTCACCGCCTCCTTGGTACCGTTGGTGTCGGGATGCGTGCTGCTGCCTGTTGCTGCTGTCTGCTGAGAAGAGCTGCTATTCGAGGACTGCGTCGCGGAAGTACCACCGGTTGCTGGCCTGCTGACATGAGTTGCTGCAGGGAACTGCAGTGACTGCAAATGTCCTTTTAGGCCATCAGCGGGAGAGGGGAACAAGGGGTGAGAACAGGGGATAGGGAACAGACAAGCATGCAGTTCCCAAAACCCAATGTGGACTGACACACTAATCAATAGGAAAAAAAAAGAATTCCCCCCCCAGACAATATTTCGAAAAAATAATTAAAATTTATTAATTTAATAAATAAAAATAATGCAATAAATGAATATGTCGGGAACTAGATGTCAATCCGAGATCAACTAGCGATCCGAAAGTTCGCAGCCTGCAGCCCCTAAGCAAAATGCTAACTTGAGCTTGTTTGCAGGTGAAACTTCCGGGAAGCTGCAGTTCTGCAACTGTCCGAACCTTCCAGCATCGGGGATTCCCAAAATGGTTCCGTACGGAGTTCACGGAGGTAAGCGGCCTACCAATAGATGCAAAATGAAAGAAAAGAATTTCGCAAAATTTTCGGGATTTCCCAACCTACAATTCCGCAAATTCCGCGAAATTTCCGGTGTCAACCCTAAATTAACGCGAATTTCCTGATTGCAAGAATTCGATGTTTGGCGCTTACCTAATTACAGAAAAAAAAAAAATTGCAACTTGAAACTTGATGACAACTGCAGATCTGACAAGGAAACAATTTTAATCAACTAATCAATCAACTTTCATTAACTGATCTATTGATTATCTTGCCTTCCTACTAATCAGAACTGCATTAACCAATCAATCAATAATCAATCAATCAATCTGTGAGCAGATCCAATCTGGTCCGCTCCGATGCCAAACTGTTGCATACTAGTGAAAGTGAACACAACTTACACAAGTATGATGCAGAACCTAGAACCTACCATTACAAAGAGCAATATAATGCAGCGGAAGACTTGAAAACATGGATCTGGACTCACATCTGACTCGGGCTATACCCAGGCGCACAGTCATACATTCATCGGAGGAGAAGGCCTGGCGCTCAAGCATAGAGGATGCGCCAGGGCCTGTACACACATGCACGGACGAATGTAGGGGGAAGAGACGAAGGGAGGAGGAGGAGATGGCGTCAACACAAAGTCACCGAAAGAGTAATCCGAAATGTCGAAGATACAGAATCTCAAAATGTTGAAGTTACAGAATCTCGAAATGCCGTTGGTAACAGATCTCCAAGTAGTCCTCCCAATATCCTATGCTGGCATAGTCTCAGTCATGATGTCACCGATATCTCACCATCGATCTCTGTCCCATAGTAACCGAGAAGGTAGAAGGTTAGAAGAAGAAGAAGAAGAAGAAGAAGAAGAAGAAGAAGAAGAAGACTGAGAGCGGCAGAGGAGAGGTGGAGATGGAGAGGTGGGGCGGAGGAAGATCCTCCTGCCCGGAGCCAGTGCTCAGGCACCAACCTGCAGGTGCAAGGTGCCGCCTTGGAGCCGCTGAAGACTTGCCTCCGACGCTGGAGCTATGGCACCCCACAGGTAAGTGCCAGGTAAGTCGCTACTCCCTTCCTCTCATCTCTACAGCTAGCGCTAAACTTAGCGCTGTTGCGTGGAGCTGCGATAATCAAAATAGCGCAGCGCTGTTCCTCAATGTCGCGGTCCCCATCTGTCCCGAACAGACTGCTGGCCGGTCCGAAGTACCAGCGGCCTGGCTGCTGGTGAAGCCGCGCCTCGATCTGGACCGTCGATTGCCTCGGATGGTTCAGATTGGACCCGCAGGAAAGTGGCAGCCACAATGTTTGGCCGCCAGGCTCAAACGGAAATGTTTGAGCCGTTTCCCGCTTCAGGGCCTGCCGCTGCAGACCCGGGTCTGAACCGGTTTGCTGGGGCCTACCGTCGGCCTTTCCAAGGTCCGGCCTTTAAGTCAGGCCGGACTGGCCCAGCATGGCCACGGTCTGGGATACCCCCTAGACCCAGCCGTCGGGCCTAACAAGGCCTGTGTGGAATCCTGTACGTAACACACACTCACGCACATCACTAAGGGGGGGAAACTGCAGGCAACTGCAAACATCTATACATTGAAGTTTGTAAAACACCAAAAATAGGAAAGACAGGTTTCACCCCTTCCCCCTCCCCCATGACAAAACCCTCGTCACCAATTGAGATGTAATGAACCCAGTCTGTAAGATACTCGCCAGATGTCGAAATGCAAAGTAACTCGACTCTGAACAATGTCTCCAATAATCATGAATGTGATATTCGATACAACGTCTCGTTTCCAGTAGACGAAGAGATAGTAACCATCAACGACCACAAAGAGACTAGTCCTTGTCAGCAGGAGGGGGAATAGACAGATTAGAAGGTGGAAGAGATAGTAACCATCAATGACCACAAAGAGAGTAGCTCAACAGTTCCCACTCCTTCTCCGGGCTTCCCCTCTCCTCCACATCAGCAAAACAGTATCCAGTAACGAGCCTTACAATCCTGATCACATCTAAGTGCCATGTGGCACAGTTCTCTCGTGAAGACATTGGAGACAATCAGCAGCGCACAGTATCGACATCAACCACAGGTAAGTATCCCGTTCCCTCTCAATCATCCACAGATCCCAATCTCCCTCCTTGTCGCGTCCAACTCAGCAATGTAGACAATGTGGCAAATGCCACGTCAGCAATGAAGACAGAGTGGCATGCACGACATTAGCAATGTTGAACACAGCGTGGCCCTGCACCACGTCAGCATAGGCTGGCACCAAAGCAGAAAGGCGCCAGCGTGCAGCAGCAGTCTTGCGTCGTCGTCCGAAGTGCCAGCGTACAGCCAGCGGCCCAGCGTCCAGCTAGCGTCAAGCCAGCGTCAAGGCAGCATAGCAAGACTGAATGCCGACTCCCTGGAGACCGGGCCTTATGTAATGTTTGACGAGGCTGTCCGGCCTCAGGTCTCCCACCCACGGTGGCTCAGATTGACTCACAGCTGAAGGCCTGGATTGCGAACAGTTGCAGACTTCCACTTGGTCCGAATGCCGTCTTGGTACCTGCATACAAACAAGTGTGTGCGTCTGACCGGCGGCCTGGGCTGGGTGCATGCAGACTTTGACTCTTGGGCCGCTGGGCAGTTGACCGTAGTCAACTGTCAGGCGCACAAGCCCTGAGCCAATTTGGGGTTTTCCTCCCATTGGCCTTTGCGGCCTCAGACTGGGGTTGCAGCCTGTGTGTGGCCCTGAGGCCACCTCGGGGCATATTGAGCGGGGTATTGCAGAGATTACTTCGAATTTGGAAATACAAGATGCCTTCTCCTAGAAAACTAAACAAAGAGAGGGCCCAGTGGGGGGGGGGGGGCAGCATCTCGACTTCGCAAGGGAGGTCAAACAAGAGACACACTCACACACATCACTGAGGGGGAGAAACTGCAGGCAACTGGAAACAACTATATATTGAAGTTCGTAAAACACCGACAATAGGAAAGACAGGTTTCACCCCTTCCCCCCCCCCCCCCCCCCCCCTCCCCCCCAAATGAGGAAACCCTCCTCACCAATTGAGATTACTTCGAAGTTGGAAATACAAGATGCCTTCTGACCACGCAGAAGGACCTTCTGCATGCACTCTTTTTTACTGATCAAGACATACTTCAATCTGAACATTCAATGATTGTCGGACCGTTGAATGCTGTATTTTCATCTTGTTGGATTTTCAAAGTGGTGTGCTCCAAAAAAAAAAAAAAAAAAAAAGTGGTGTGCTCAACGGAGTGGGCTATCTGGGTGTATCTTCGTACTCCGTTCTCATGCTGGATCTGTCTTTGCCGGGTGGTTTTCCATTTCCATTTCCATTGTCGGACCAGAGCGTAGAATTATACCCCATTTCCATTGTCGGACCAGAGCGTAGAATTATACCACAGATGGTGCACTCTCCTATGCGCCATCACATCATCATCATCATACTCTTTAAATATTATGGTCCGGAGTATGGAGGGCCGGCGCGATTCCACGGCTCTTTCCGAAAAGCCTTACAGTTGTTCTTACACAAAGTACGCGTTCTGCGTCTTCTGACGAACTGAAGCACCAGCCGAGCAAAGCTCTCTCTCTCTCTCTCTCTCTCGTCCTCGCAGCTAGGAGGTAGATGTCCTTGTCAGCACTA